TAAAGATTTTCACCAATCAATCTTAAATACAGAAAAAAACGTTTTATTTTACACTGGTATTCAAAATACCATATATGTAATTTAATAAAATAAAAATATATATATAATTTAATGTCATATATGGTAAAGTATTTCCATTAATACGTAAAGTATTGAAAATAAACAAAAAGTTTAAAAAGTTTCCTATAAACTTTGAAGCAAAATGGAAGCTATGCTCTAATGATGAAATGATGCTAAGGTTAATGAAAATAAGATTAACGTTACCAGAAAAAGATTTATCTCATCAATTTAATATCAGTTTCTCTTGCAAGTTGCATATATTTAACACGGGTTTTACATCATTTAATTTTTGTTTTTGATAAAGCTGCATTAAATTTCACAAGATCAAAACGCTTCGATCAAATCAAAGACATACATTCCTTTATTGATGCAACGGAATTATTTATTAAAAATACCCATAATCCTGATCTGCGAAAAAGTTTGAATATAAACACCATAATACAATAAAAATACTAATCAGTATTACACCTAATTTGTTCATTAACTTTGTTTCAAGTGCATACCCAGGATCAATATCCGATAAAAGGTTGGCAATAGAATCAACATTTTTTTATTTAGTTTCTCATTTTTCTTATGTTATGGCAAAAAGGAGTAGCATAACATTGTATGTACCTTCAGGAAAAATAGGTTTATATTAAATGTTATTGCTATGCATCAAAAATTAAAAAAACTAAAAAAATAAACGTTTTAGAGGATTTTAAAATATCCTACAATTCTTGTAGAACAGTAGAACTAGGCAACTAAAAGTTTTCGTTTATTGGAATAATTTTTAAACCAGAAATAGAAGTATTAATTGATTTAAATAGCAACGTTTTAAGCGCAATCTCTTTTAATGACAGAATTTTGATTGATCCTATTTAAAATTCGAATTGCCAAATGGTTTTCCCAAAAATTTATCAGGTCCTTAATAAATCCCCTGTAACTTTTGTAAAAATTAATTTTTTCTATATATTATTAATGATAAGTGTATATAAAAAACCTATGTTTGAACGCTTTTTATTGGCGTTTGGCCTCGAGCCTATGTGTTATAAGTTATGTAGTTTTAAATTCAAAACGCCATTTTTTTAAATTGAGAAGCAAGGTTTTCAATTGGGTTTGATTTAAAAATAAATACTTATTTTCTATTATTTTATTTCCACATCAATTACAAAAAGTGTCTAAATCTGGAGACATTGGTATAAAATTTTATGTGAAATTATCTTTCCAGGTTTTGAAGTTTTTATGATTCTTCTTTTTATGAAATTTTATAACACTATATAGTGACATAAAAAATATTTAGGTTTATTCATTCATAATCAAAAATAAATTTACAAATTTTTTTTAACAAAGAGCGGCACACCAGGCCTCTCTGTTATAAAAATACAGTTTTTTAATTTCAGCTAAAGTGAAGATGCCGCAGCAGAGAAAGTTCGTGTTTAAAATTGTTCAAGTTCTTTGCGTCTACCACACTTTGGGTTAAAGAATTCCATAATCTTACAATAAAGTTGCTGAAGAAGTTGCTTCTTTCAGCGCAGTTTTGGAGAAGTTGTGCTCTTAGTACTTTAGTGTGTCCACGCGGGCAAAAACTGTACTTTGAAGATTTCGTATTAGGTTGAAGCTGAGGGATATAAAAGTTAACTTCATCAATTTTGGTCATGATTTTATATTGTTCAATAAGGTCTCCTTTTTCTCGTCGTTCAGTTAGTGATGTCAGGTTAAGGCTTGATAGTCTTTGAGCATACAAAAGGTGTTTAAGGGAGGTAATATGTTTTGGGGCTAGGTGTTGAACTTGCTCAAGGTTGGCAATGTCTTGAGCAAAAAACGGTTGGCCTGTACTGCGAATTCTAGGTGTGGGCGAATGTACGAAATAGACAGTGTACGCAATAATGCAGAACCTCGACCTTGATAAGCCTTTTTGAGCCTACTAAGAACTCAGTTGCCAGCTGATGCAGCCGCACAAACCTCTTTAGAAAACTTTTAGATCACTCGTTATAAAAACGCCTAGGTCTCTTTCAGATAATGTGCATGATAGCTAGTCCAGTATAAATTGCAATCGATTTTTTTTTGTTGCTGCGCCTGGTGTGCATAACTTTGCACTTTTCGACATTAAATCACATGCGCCATGTGTGCAACCACTTCACTGCTTCGTTGATATCGGCTTGCAGTTTTATGATGTCATAGTTTGATTCTACAGTTCCGATTATTTTACAGTCATCTGCATAGATTTTAAAGTTGTATTTTGTCTAGCAAATCGTTAATGTAGATAAGGAACAGGAGTGGTCCAAAAACAGATCCTTGTGGCACACCGCTAGAGATAGTTTTCCAATTAGATTTATGGTTACTAATGGTTACGCATTGAAGCCGGTCGGTTAGCTAGCTTTTAATCCAATCGTACAAGTTGTCGGACACTCCATATGATTTTAGCTTGTGCAGCAGACGATGGTGCGAAACTTTGTCAAATGCTTTATATAAAAGCATTATATAATGCCTTTCTGCTTCAATATATACTGGAATTATTTTTTTCCACGCTGCCATTGCTCTAAAAAGTATATAATAGTTTATATAAATTAATATTATAATCCATTTCTCATTTGTTCGAATAAGTATCTAGACAAAAAAAGCAGCTACCTATATACTAAAGTTTCGTAATCTCTTTCTGGTGAGTTTTTTTCTCAACGACAGAAATATGCAAACCTTTAAAGTTATTGAACTGCTGCCAGTGATGGTTGAAGTCATGATGGAGTGATTCTGTTTTTGGTGCTGAATAAATGCCTAGTGAGAAGTTGTGGTAACCAATATACTTTGTCACAAGAAGAAAGAGAGTATACGCTTTGAAATTCTTTAATGAGAAAGCAATTGATGTCTTGAAGAACCTTTCCAAAGGAAGCATGAACAACAACTTAAAAATTTCTGAGAAAATAAACATACTTTTCTGCAAGTTGTTGAAGCTAGTCAACATTTCGTAAAAGTTTTCTGCTCTTATTGCCTGCAAATAGACCTCTGTAAAAAAGTTGTTGTTGAATGTTCATCAAATTTGGCCATTCAGATGTATTTTATCACTGCAGACACAGACTATTGATAAGGTGGTTAACAATACCAAGAAGATGTTGAAATTCCATGGTTGCAATGTCCAAAATAAAAGATATTAAAGCACTGCAATATTGCTATACTTCTGCTTTGAAGTTTTGCAATGCCATTTTTTTTTTGTTCCATTTTGTTAAAAAATATAGCATTATCAGGGTCATTAGATACTGTATCTGACATTTATGTGTAAAAGATATTATCCGTAATCAATTCTAATTAGTAGGTAGAAAATTTAGTTAAAGGTAATTATGTCAAATCTCAAAGTTTCAAAGGAATTTCAAAAAGAAATAAAGAAGTAAAAAAAGAACTCTTACGGTTTACTTTCAGTTGAAAGAAAAAATAGTTTTCTAAAATAAACTTATTGAAAAAACTTAAGAAAACAGGCATTTGGAATCAGATAAGTTTTTTTTTCGTCGTTGCGCATAACCATCAAGCTTTTAGTAAAAGCTCGATGGTTGATGCAAAAATATTCAATATGTCCATTTAAATTGATATATATTGATCATTTTTGCATTGTTTTTTATATTTTTGGATTTATTGTTTCAATAGAAACAATAAATCCAAAAATAAAAAAAGTAAAGATATTTACTTAAGAAACAAAAAACATTTTTCTTGAGATAAAATAAAATATAAACTTAAAAAAAATAAAAAAAATATTGTACTTAACAAAAAGTAACAAAAATTAAATTAAAAAATTGTTTGATTATTATTAGGCTTTAGGTAAGTCATAATCAAGTCAGCCATAAGAAAAGGAACTCGACCTAAAAATGGAACAAAATTATTTCAAACATAATACACATTAATTACAAATTAACGTGTCATACAATCAATTCATTTTTTTAAAAACTCAAAAATGCGAATAAGTGGATAAGAAACTTACTTTTTATTTTTCCATAACCCTGACAGATCAACACGAATATGAGCTAAGTCTATTAGCATAAAACATTACAACAATTAATTGAATAGCAAAACATGTTAAAGTAAACTCGAGATAACCCACACCTTTAATGGACAAAGAAATTAGTTTAGTTTAAAGAAAATTAGAGTTATTGGGAGTATAGTATATAAAAAAAAGCTAAAGTGCAATTTCAAAATTAGCTTATATTGTTGAGGGCTGAGTTATCCTGAGTTTATTGAACATATTTAAACTACTAACGGCACACACTTATAAAAACATACATTAACATTTAAAAACATAAATCTTTTTCTTTATATAACACATATATATTAACATTTAGGAAATAACACATTATAAGCAATTACCACTTCATTATTAATACTTATCAACAACCATTACAAACATCACATTTTAAAAATGAAATACTATTTGTGTAATGTAAACCATTACCTACATTCAATGATATACCTTGTAGTGCATGTTAATCAAAGTTATACAATAAATTATAAAATGTCTTGGTTCTGGAACATGCTACATAGAATTTGGTTGTGTACAAACCAAGTCCCCTTGAGATTAGTATTAGCTTTATCAAATGTTTGACTGTAACTTTTATTTCTTGTCCATGAGTATTGTTAATAAAAGTGTCTTTATTTAAACTATTTAATTAATTTGATGGCTTAAAGTTATTGGGAAAATTATGTAACATAATATATTTAAAAAAAAAAAGTTACAAAAAAAACAAAACAATCTGTGGCACTACAGTTGTAAATCTAAAATGTGAAAAAATTATTTACAACTGTTGTGATGTTGTGGTGAATGTAATCCTCCATCATAAAATCTTTAAAGACATTCCAAAGATTTAAAATTAACCTATTTGTCCATTCAGCGTCGTCTTGTAACAGACCTAATTGAGAACTTGCTTCACGGAATGTATTAAAAACTGAGAACGGAATGTATTAAAAACTGAGAACGGAATGTATTAAAAACTGAGAACGGAATGTATTAAAAACTGAGAACGGAATGTATTAAAAACTGTACCATTAACAGTACGCAAATCTTCTAAAGAAACTTCAGCTCTAACATGCAAAAGTAACATTCTAAGGTAAAATAATTCACCTATTGGACTTACTTTATACATTCTAACAATCACCTTATTGCTACCTCTTTGCCTAACTTTCCATTTACAATGTTCGCTATGAAAAACAAAGCGGTGAGGAATTTCAACATACGGATATTGTCCAGCTTGTTCATTTTCAGAATTTAATTTAAACCATGCAGTTAGATGAGTGTCACGCTGTGCTGCACGGTCTAAGGCTGCCTGTTCTTTACCTTCAACAAAATATATCATTTGATTATCTGATAGATGAACCTGAAGTCGAATGATGTTGTGTGACATATCACCTAAAGAATACTTAAATATTCGCCACAATCCTTCTCAAGCTGAGACATTGCGAATTTAAAAACATGTGTATTTCATCATGGTTAACTTGCTCATTTAACACCACATTGGCACAGTCATGCCTTTTGTAAATGTACTTATATAAATACTTAACTGACTTTATGGTCATGCAGGCTTCAACATTTATATGCACTTGATAATTTTTAGAAAGCCATGGGTTATAAGGTACAAACCAACGGTTATCAACTTGATTACCTTTTATTTTGACAATTCTTTTATTATTGACACGTCTATAGCATGAATAACCATTTAAAATTGCAATAATATGGGGATTAAATTCATTAGGAAGTTTTTTAGTGCATTTCTTATCTTTTATGCAGGGAGAATTGGGATTTAAAATTCCACATGGTCAAGGTATCATTCATGATTTTATAATTTCATGAAGTTCAAGATCAACAGCTAGGTCTGGAATTTCTGCTGATATCAAACTGTCAATATCTTCTGCTGTTTCTAGCTTATCTGCATTTACAAAGTGCAATAAAATATGTAAATATGGCAAACCACGCTTTTAAAACTCAATAACCTGCACATGACTTATAACTTTGCCTAAGACTCCATGCTTGAAAATATCTTCTAAGAAAAATTCAAGTTTCATTTTAAATACCCGACAAACTAAATCAGGTCTGTCATTAGCAGTTTGGCCAGGGTTTAAATTTTATACTATTTCTCTCCATTATGGATTGCAGGTAAAAATAATGAATAGATCTGGTTTACCATATTTCTTAATGCTGCCATCATATCTTCAAATTTTTCTTTTAGTGCTCTTGGACTACCATCATATGAAGAAAGCAATATAACAACGCGGCCTGGTCTTACATTAAGATCATTAGCACGATTAATTACATGTTCATGCAATGCATCATATTGTTCACTTCTAAGTTTGTTTTGGTTATTTCTAATAAAAGCAAGGCACTGTCCATCAACTTTGACATATGCATAAACAACGTATTGTTGAAAACTTACCATAGAATGTAGGACTAAAAGTATGTCAAATCGCAAGCCTATAATTATGAGACAAAGTAACATGATTTCTAACACAGGTTGCGCAGTCAGGGTTGTGCTCCAGTTGATTGTGCCATCCATCATCGCCTGTCGGAAAAAATATTAGATTTACTATAGGATCTAAAATTGCAGACATAGACGAAATTATTTTTAAAGGCTGACCTCAAGGGTATATAACAACTTCCCTGGATGCAGGTGGAGCACCATCATCTCTCACAAACACAATAGCGATCTCCTCACGGGAAGAAAGATTGTATCGACGTCTATCATGACTATCACGCAAAGACATTCTTACTACAGAAGTCGGTCTACCTTCTAAAGCTAAATGTTTGCAAAAGTTGCATTAACTCATGTATACAACCATCATTACCAGGTTGCTTTATTCTGAATGACACCGCTGCATTAGGCCTCAAATTTCCAAAACGATGCAACATTTGCCCACAGACCCTGAAACAGAAAGGGAGGAGCTAATTTGGCAGTGAAGGAACCAAAAGAGGAATTATAACTACTTATGTGTTCAAAATATTTTTGATTTTCAGCATGATCAACATGGTTTCCTGTCATTAAATCAGTCAACAATGGTTTCCTGTCATTAAATCAGTCAACAATGGTTTCCTGTCATTAAATCAGTCAACAATGGTTTCCTGTCATTAAATCAGTCAACAATGGTTTCCTGTCATTAAATCAGTCAACGATGGTTTCCTGTCATTAAATCAGTCAACAATGGTTTCCTGTCATTAAATCAGTCAACAATGGTTTCCTGTCATTTAATCAGTCAACAATGGTTTCCTGTCATTAAATCAGTCAACAATGGTTTCCTGTCATTAAATCAGTCAACAATGGTTTCCTGTCATTAAATCAGTCAACAATGGTTTCCTGTCATTAAATCAGTCAACAATGGTTTGTTGACTGATTGTGAAGTGGATATAGAGCAAGAGGAGTAATAAAACTAAATAAATAAAAAAAATGGCAGCACAAAAAATGAGTTTCATTTAAAAATTTCTTCGCACTACAATACTGACATTTATGGTTGAATTTTCCGAGGTCATTACTCTCTGTAGCAATATTATTTCTTGCTATGCAATGCATATTATACCTTTTGAGTTCTCGCCTCGCCTGATTTATTTCATTTTGATTACAATTTATTTCAGCTCGCCTGGACTCCCCTCTTTCATTCCGACGACGCTTTATTTCAGCTCGCCTGGGCTCATCTCTTTTATTCCGACGGTGGTTTATTTCAGCTCGTCAAGCCTGTCTTCTCTCATTTTGACGAACTCTAATAATTTCATTTCTCAAACTATCAGACATAAACATGCATCAAAGGTGTGTAAAAATGATGCTTATTATAATAAAAAGTTGAGTTTTCTTTTTTAAACTAATATTAAATAAAGTGTAAGCAAATAATATAGAGCATAATATAATTATCTTTTATATTCTACCATATATAGCAATGTGTTAAGATAACTTTTATCAAAAGGTTAAACTAAAGTTATAAATAAATTGATACAATCTTTTAAACTGAGTATTGTTACATATTTAAGTTAATTGTTATTAATTATTGACAAAATATTATTAGTATTTAATCAAACAAACACAGGTAAAATAATTTAAAAAACAAACTTTTTACATTAAAGAGCTCTAAATAAAGCAAATTCAAAATAATAAGGACTGTCTGCTCAGCAAGTACTGCTAAACTATAAAGATAAAATGTAATCATTCATCATAAAAACCCTTTCACTACTTTGAAACACATTTAATGCAAGATTTGCAATAAATAAGGAGTAGTAGTAGTTATAGTAGTAGTAGTAGTAGTAGTAGTAGTAGTAGTAGTAGTAGTAGTAGTAGTAGTAGAAAAATTGCTTCAACAGGTTTCCCTGTATAACCTATAGGTTTTGGCAGTCTTATCTACTTCATACATTAACTTTATTTATATATAAAAATTTACATTAAGATATATAGTATGAAGTATAAGTTTGTACTTTATTGTTTTTCCTTTTTTTTTTTTTTAGTTATAATCTCAATTTTTATGCGAATTATTTGAAATTTTTGCATCAAGCTTAACCTTGAAACTGTTAACTGATGAAACGCATACAACTTCTGAAGGCAATGTATTCACTATTCGATTTGTTAAAAACTGGTGCCTTTGCTCGCAATTTTGAACATATTCTCTAGTCATTTTTAGATGATGTCTTCTAGTTTTTATTTTGTTTGACTCTCCAACACGAAGGACATGGGGTTCACTTCATTGGACAATGTCTATATTGTTACTAATTTTATAGGCTTGTATCAGATCTCCTCTAATGCGACGGGTTTCTAAAGACGTTAAGACGAAGGTATTAAACGGGTAGCTCTTCTTTGTACTTTCTCGATTTTGTCAATATCTATTCTTGATGATGGATTGCTGGCTGCTACTGCAAATTCCAGATGAGGTTGTACAAAGGTTGTATATAGAATTTTAAGTATTTGCGGAGTCATGTGACTGAAAGTACGACACAGCATGCCTAATAAACGATTTGCTTTATTGGTTGCAAAAGTTGTATTGTTATGCCATTTTAAGTCTGGCGTAATCATGATGCCTAAATCACGTTCGACTAAAGTTGATGCTAGTTAGTGTCGTTAGCTGGCATTGAGTAGACATAAAAGTTGTTTTTTTTACCTATGTGCATGATTTTACATTTATCGAGATTAAGTTTCATTTTCAAGGTTTTACACTAATTGGTTATGTTGTAGATGTCAGTTTGAAGCATTTGTGAATTAGTGTCATCAGAATACATTTTACATGGATGGTTAACAATATCGGATATATCGTTTACAAAAATGATAAAAAATATTGGACCTAATACGGATCCTTGAGGGACGCCACTAAATACCTCAAGCCACAAGGAAACATAATCACCCATCACGATTCTTTGAAAAAGCTGGTGTAAAAACAATTTTATCCAGTTCAGGAGATTTCCAGTGAAACCATATGCCTCAAGTTTGTAAATTAGTCTCTTGTGGGGAACCATATCAAATGCTTTACTGAAATCTATAAAAGCTACGTCCATAGATATCTTGTCAGATAATGCTTTTGACATCATGTCAATCGACTCCAACAAATTAGTCACACAAGCTTTTTTATTGAAAAGACTATGTAATAAGGCTATGATCGACTAAATGATTGACAATAGTGTCACGTAATATTTTCTCCATCACTTTACATAGAATTGATGTTAAGGATATAGGCCGGTAATTGCCTGGGTCGAGTCTACTTCCGTTTTTAAACAGTGGTTTTACATTAGCTTTTTTCCATACTTCAGGACAACACCCACTATCTAACGACTTCTGAAAAATTGCTCATAAAGGTATTGAGAAGCTGTCAGAACAGTTCTTCAGTACATAAGCACTTATAACAACCAAACCAACGGTTTTGTCAACTGATAAATCAATAAGCTTGTTTTTAACTAGATCTTGCGTTATTTGCGAGTATTTGCAGATGAATTCAGTTCATTTTATTAAATATGGCAGTTCATCGTCTTCATTTTTGTTGAAAACACTTTGAAAATGATTGTTCAGCCGATTTGCAATTTCTATTGGATTTGTGATAGTGTCGCCATTGATTCCTTTTAAGGCTGTTATTGTAGTTCTAACATTTTATTTGCTATTAACATACTTGAACAGGATCTTTGGGTTGTGCTTCGATTTTATCGCTAAATCATGTTCAAACTCACAACGAGCTTTATATATGAGCTTCTTCAATTAAATATTACACGCTTTGTATTCGTTGACTAGTTTAAGATTTCTATATCCATTCGCTCTAAGTAAATACAAAACTAATAAAAGAAAACCTCTATAAACAATCATATATTTGCTTTAAGTGAAAAAACTTGGAAATATTGAAGCTTGTTTTAATATTTTAATATTTTTTAAGATAACTAATATTCTAAAGAAAAAAA